GAGAGAGAGAGAGAGAGAGAGAGAGAGAGAGGGTTGGGGTGAGGAAGGCGAATACGACAGGCGGAGAAGTACTTTGGTAGCTATCACTGGGTGAGATGAAGAGGAGGCGGGGCAGGAATATATGACGTTGCTGACGGCAGGAAGAAGCGGGATGGGAGTAGAAGACGAGACGGGGGTTGGAAGATGAGGATGCTGATGTGTCCAATCCGGAGGGGAAAACGGGGAGGAGGAGGCTATGGTGATTCCATTTATCTTTCACTTTATTGATACTCGTTCCGCTTTCTATTTTGTTTACCATGGTCCCTCCTCCCCATCGTTCTCCTCTTCCATGTCTTTCTCTTTGTCATCGTTCTCCACTTCAGGTCCTCTACAGCATCCTTCTCCTCCTGTTCATCGTTCTGCCTGGGATGCCAACATCGCTCAGCCTGGGGTAGAGTGCGGAAAGGCCGTCATCATACTTGCACAGGGGTTGGGAAGACTACAAGGGGTTGCGTGTTTTCGTTCCTACGTCTGCACAGCCAGGTTCTCATGTTTTCGTTGTCGTCCTCCACATTCACCTCCTGCTGCCTGGCGGTGCAGACGCGCACGCACACACACACACACAGACACAGAGAGAGAGAAGGCAAGCAAGAGAGAGAGAGAGAGAGAGAGAGAGAGAGAGAGAGAGAGAGAGAGAGAGAGAGAGAGAGAGAGAGAGAGAGAGAGAGAGAGAAGGCAAGCACGGCATACCTACACCATTGGCTGATCAAATACAAACATAGCAAACAGACTGGGGATTGGAATTCTCTGCAAAACAGGTAAACAGGACATTATTTCCTGAATCAGAAAAGCGCCGAGTTATCAGTCTCCAACCGTGCGGGTGGGTCCTTGGACACCACACAATAAAGATAACGTTCCTCCCATGGAACATCTCACATGTACCAGGTGAACTAGCTACCGCAAAAAGGGAAAACAAAGTTCGTTGGTAGTCCCTCCTGAATTCTTGCAAGCGAAGCTGCAACGGGTCATCTAGTATATATATATATGCACATTAGCGTGTGGATCCCTCTGCTGCTCGCCGATATGCTTTTACATATCGGTTCATTGATGATGKTCTTACCWTTGATTGTYTKCCACCATCATCAGCCCATTATGGTCTTGAATGGAAGGAGACCACTGCGGCAGATGGCTCGTGCACCTTCTTAGGTGCGAAACTGCAGACACGAGCAGACGGATCTCTCAGATTGAGTGTGTTTGATAAGACCATTGCATGGGATTTTCCTGTT